CGGGCCATGGTCTCATACTCTCATTTATATGATATTAAAGGTAAGAGAAGAAAATGGACATTTGTTTGCAAATTTTGTCTAAGTATGTAAAGGCAAAAGGGAGACATTGTAGGGCAATGTTATAGTCCCTACCCAATTTTTTCGTATACATTCTTTCATAAGTTTGATTGCCTCTCTCTCGTCCTTGTTGGCTCTGTCCTCAATGTTTGTTTTCCCTTACCTCCTACATCCCACATGATTTTGCTTTCACTAGAACAAAGAATCTAGATGTCCTAATTTGAATCGAAACATGAAATTTGGATTTATGTGGTCTCGAAAAATAGTGTTAAGAACGAATATTTTAGATCTAAAGATTTGATTGATTTCGTTTTTTCTAGATATGATATCAGAACCCTGTAAAATTAAACGGATTGATCTTTAAAAAATGAAATTTAGTATAAAACAAATGAGCTGAAAACCTATTATCTTGAGAAAGCGTGTTTGGATCCTACATCGGAAATAGAATTTAATCTATTAATTTAAACCTTTTTTTTTACACCAAGTGAATCGGTAGGTCTAGTGAAACTTGAACTTGAAGACGCGTATAAACTTTGCAGTGTCACAAACATAACTAATTGAGATACCATCACTATGTTAATTTCTAAATGTTTTACCAAAAAATTACGTGTTTACGTGTGTTTTCGTGATATCTTATCCCAATTCAAAGTCACTCCTTGTAATTATAATGGTTAGTCTTCTTTGTGACGTAACTATAATCTAGTCACTAATTTTGTCCGGCATTTTTTTATGATTTTTTCTCTTGTAATCTCGAATCCTGTTTTGGCTAACTAAACCATTTAACTAATATGGTCACGTACATGTTGTCAAACAATAATAATAAGCTAGTTACTAATTGTGTCAACGTCATAAATAATTACTCTAATTTTGTTCTATAAATAACTTCACCAAAATGTAAAAGTAAAGTATTGTGTATCATCTTTTATCGTTTTCATTAATTTCTATAGAATTTTAGAAGTTATTTCTAGTTTTAATTCTCTTTAACCATTTTAAAATTAGGTAATTCAATCATATAAATTAACATCAGCGAAATGAGATTAATTTTTATATTGTTTGACATCTGTAATTTGACTCTTTTTTGTCGTCTGTAATTG